ATCGGTAACAACCATATTGATTTTAATCTGCTGAAATATTCACTTCAGCTCGTGCTCTCTAACTCTGATGTGTGCATGAATTAAAGTAACACAAATTGTGTTGTCTATTGTGAAAACCAGGCTCTGATAATCTCGCACGCTGTGGAGCCCTGGAGAGCCTGGTGAATGAGATGGCAGATGACACGTGGGACAACAAAGCCGTGAACAGGATCAGTGCCATTCACTTTCTGGATGATGATGAGGAGGACGATGATGATAAGGTGAGACCAACAAGCTCGAGGCCAAATTTTACAGCAGTCCATCCAGTAGTTGGTGATATTTCACTCCAGACCACAGATATTAACCTGCTGGTGGTACTAAAGGAAATGTCGGGATCAAAGTCAGTGGGCTCAATCCTCTGGAGACCATAAGTGTCTGCACAGAATTTAATTGAAATGTATTTTATAGTTTTTGAGATATTTTAGTTGGGACCACAGCAATAGGCTGATAGAGAGCCTCCCCACAAGCATAGCTAGAAACTGTATACGCTTTTGTTTCCCCTAAAAAGTTAAACTGCCATAAAATCAGCAGCACATCAACATCAGCTTGTTGCAAAAAAAAGCTTATTTAACATTTCTGTGTTGCATTTTGCTACTTGCAAGAAAAATGACATTTGCATGAAGTAATTTTGTAGTGATGCTCGGTTATGAGGCAACGTTTAAAGAGTCACTCACTACTGTAATTTTCTACCTGGACGCTATTTTCCAATATTCTCATATCTAAGTCACTAATGGAGACAACATTTTTTAAATTGGTCCAGTACTGAGCAAGAGTGCTGCAGCGGCGAAACAGTCTGAGCATGGTGGCATAGTCAATTTCCGTCCACTAGAAGTTCTTGTTTTTGTCACTGACAGGCTCAGATTGTTATTTTAAGTGTTTAAAGTATGGAAGGGATCCTAACGGAGATAAACCTTTTGTTAGATCCTTTAAATCTAACCAAAAACATCCCTGAAATGACCAACCCAAAAACCACCAGACTCCATTTGAATAAACACTAATTTCATCATCATAAACCGCTCTTCATCTACAGTCGACAGAAACAAATAATTTTTAAAAGCTGTCTTTTATCGTATTTTCACTGTTCCAAAAATCTTCAGCTCTGGTTTGGTTGAAATGAACCAGTGTTTATTTTGACAGCTGTTTTATATTTAGATCTCAGTCTTAGTCTTGAGACAAGATGCCTATCAGTTTTAGTTACAGTTTAGTCATTTTTATCCTCAATAGTTTTAGTCTAGTTTTAGAAGATGAAAATTCCTGACATTTTAGTGAACTTTTAGTCATTGTGTTTTCTGTATGTTTTTGTTAATCTTTAATCCATTTGTCAGAAATTATAGTCAAGGTGACAGGTTGTATAAAAATTTCATTTTGAGATCTTTTTCTACAACTACAAGTAGTTTCTACACACTTCCAAACTATCTCCAGCAGTTTTTGACAGGTTCAAGGGGTGATGATTATGATCACACACTTACTGATCATCATTTGAAAAGCTCTCAACATCTCTCTATTTATTGTCTGAAAAACATTGACACCACAAATAACCTATCTGAGGTAAATAGGATTTGAACCCAGGTTCATTGTAAACTCCGACTTATCGACCTCACTGTTAAGAAGCAGAAAATAATTCAAGCCTGAATTTCTTTTGGTCACAGAAAAAAGGTTGTAATAATTTTCGTCATAGTTTTCGTCAATGAAATAACACTGAAATGAACCTTTAATTCACCCAGTTAGGTGGGAAGATATGCAGGCTCTATACAGGATAACATTACTTTGTTTAAATGGAGTCTGGTGGGTTTGGCGATTGTGATTTTAGGGTTGTTTCTAGTTAAACAAAAAGGATCTTACTTTTTAACAGAAAGGTCTATATCTATCTGTAGGGATCCATTTCATGATGTTGTCTGACACTTAGAAATAACAATCTGAGCCTGTCAGATGCAAAACAAGCACTTTAGTGGACATTAATTGATGGCCAGAGTGCCCAGAGTGGTTGAATTGCAGCCTGTTCGGCTGCTGCCAGCTTCAGTACTCTCCCTCTCTACTGGACCAATTTCTAAACTTGGTGTTTCCATTAGACACTTAGACACAAGAACTAGAGTCCAGATTGAAAAATACTAGTTACCCTTTAACTACCTTGTCCTTGAACTGTTCTAAGCTCACCACTTACAACACATCTGACCAATATAAGTGTACCACTAATTTAAAGCTCTCTGCCTCACACAGGGAACACTACTTCGACGGGCCACGCCTCACCCTGGCGAGCTGAAGACGATGAAGAAAGCAGCCGAGAACCTCCGCAACGACCTGAACGCTGCCAAAGGCCTGGACTCCAACAAAAACGAGGTCAATAACGCTGCAGACAGAGTGACCACGTCTGTGTGACCTTTACCTCAGAAATGTTTTTTACCTCCTGTGTCTCGCAGTGTTGTCCTGCACAACCCCGCAGCCCCCCCCCCTCTTTTTTTTCTTCTTCTACCTACGAACCCCAGTGTGGCCTACCCCTCCTGTGACTAAACCCTGGGACGCCTGTAACCTTACTCCATCTCCAGTCCTGTGTAAAACGTGTTTGACTCAGTCGACCAGGGCCGCTGTGCCTTCCTCTTTTTAATTAATGTCCACAGCAATAATCTGCACAGAGACGCTCCTTTTTAAAAAGATATTTTAAAGATTTATTACCTTTTTTAAATGCCTCTTTTTAAAAACATACATTAGGTAGTTGCACTATTTTAAGTCTTTATAATATGGTCAAACCGTCTTAAGTGTATTATATATATTTGTTCTATATCTATTTTTAAAACACTGGGTGAATACTTTTTACATTTTGGGCAAACATAAGAGCAGGAGTTTTTGGACCTACTGATTAAGGATTATTGTATAGTCTCTTGTGAATATTGATACTTTTATACTTTTTGGCAGCTCAGATGTAAATAAAATGTATAGCAAATTTCTTAATCAGTTGCAGATTTTTAAACTTTTTTTTTTTTTCTCTCTTTTTCAAACTTGGTACTTTTTTCTTTTATAAAAAAATCAAAGAAATAAATAAAACGCAGTCACTGATGTCTTATTCAATCCATATAATTGTCATTGGGTGAGTGGATGGCCTTGAATCCTCTTTTTGTTCATGTAAAACATCTAGATTTATTTTTGGATGATAAATAGATTAATCAAGTTTGGATTTAAGTACCGCACATCAAACTCTAATTACTCATCTGCAGCTTAATTATGCAGAAGTAACAATGCTGTCTTATTTATATGTGCTGTGCTTCACTGCTTTGCAATGTTCTTCAGATAGATGCCAAAAACAGTTGTATATTTTTAAAGCAAGTTTTCCTTTCCCTTTAACAAAGAGTACTGTATAGATTAATCATCTGAGGTTTGGTGAGAGTGAGGTTCGTACCGTGAGGATGGCATCCAGTTGTTAGAAGTTCCACTTTAATGCACTTCTCAACATTTCTCAAACTCTTTGACATGGTACATGATAAGTTGTTTTATTTTGTTTTTAAAATTGATTGCAAAAAGTGGACCAGAGAAAATTGGTTCAAGTGTTGGTTTTTATTGTTTTTAATTATTTTCTGATCAAACTGCACAACACGGATCTCACGCGGGCACTGTGCCCAGAGATTTGGATGACTTTAACCACTGATCAATAAAAAGAGTGCAACACTAAACATGTTTCTTATTCCTTTTAATTTTACTCAGTTTAGAGAGAATAACAAAGACAGTCTCAGTCGAGTTGGACTTTAAAATGTCAGATTTAAAAACAAACTACAAGCTTTGGTGTGGTCTTTCTTAGTATCCATATCCAAAAATAATATATCGACAAAGTAATCTCTGACTTAAACTGGCTTGCTTTGAGGCAACAAACCAAATATTCCATTTCCTGACCCCTCCATTGCTTGTTTTGTCTGTCCAACAGCGCATGGTGTTTCTGTAACGCTCTGCCAGCATGTGCCATATTTGACTCGTCCACCCCGCACGTGCTGCATGTTGTACTGACGCTGGCATGCTTTGAGTATATCAGAGGATGAATGTTCATATTTTAATGTTAATGGCAAGTTCACATTTATTTGAATCTCGGTGTACATTCTTTAATAACCATTTGAGTATGACAATACTGTCTTTGATGTTGAATTAAAACTATTACAGCTACTCTCCAGTGAATTATCAGCTGGTTCAAAAAACATAAAAACTGATAACTGGCTGGAAGTATCAGTAACTGTGGTGTTTAGTTTCAGGCACTGAACTGTTTGTACTCATGTAGTGGTGCTTTATATGCCCCCGAAGTTTCTTTCAGGAACAGTTCACCCCAAAATCAAAAATACATATTTTCCTCTTGCCTCTAGTGCTATTTATTAATTTAGTTTTGGTGCATGTCTGAATGTTGGACATGAGGCCGTAGAGATGTCTGCCTTCTCTCTAATATAATAGAACTAGATGGTTCTTGGCTTGTGCTGCTCAAAGCACCACAAGCAAATAAATAAATGAATTAAAAAAAAAATACCAGCAATGTCTCTTTTCAGAAATCATGACCTGCTTGCTCAAGATATTGAGTTTTTTTTGGCACTTTGAGCACCACAATCTGACTGGCATCTGGTTTCATTATATCAGAGAGAAGGCAGACATCTCAAAGACCCAGCAACTCACACCAAAACAGTCTAGATCAGGGTGTCAAACTCATTTTAGTTTGTGGGCCACATGCAGCCCAATTTGATATCAGATGGGCTGGACCAATAAAACCATTGCACAAAAACCTATAAGTAACATCAGCTCCAATATTTTCCCTTTTCTTGTGTAAAGAATTACAAGTACATTCTGTAGACATTCATCCTTTTACAAAACAGATGAACAGCCTGAGATGTCTTGAGAAAAATAAGTTCAGTTTCAGCAGTATGTCTCAGTTTCAGTCTGCCTCTCACTGTCATTACATGTGCATTTATCCGCACATTTCCTGATACAGACTCTTTTGAACTGAAGCTGCTGATTAACAATATTTTGCACAATGTTCAGTATCTTTAAACAAGGTCACAGTAAGTATTCATGTTATATCACAGAACTTTATCCTGGTCATTAAACGCATTGTTTAACTTGCTCTGAAACCTGGCACCTCGAAGTCTAGTCATCTAGTGGGCCAGATTGGACCCTTTGGCGGGCCGGTTCCGGCCTACGGGCCACATGTTTGACACCCCTGGTCTAGACTGATAAGTAGCACTACAGATAATATTTGTTTTATATTTTGAAGTGAAATGTCCCTTTAAGTGGAGGCTTCTTCAGTGACACTACAATACATTTCAAGCCTGACATACTTCTCTCTCTCTCTTTCTTTGCCTCCTCCTCAGGATGCATTAGAAGACTAATTTTGGGGAAAAGGCAGAGAAACAGATAAAGTTTTGGAGTTGCAGCTTTTATCTTGGCTGCTCTTTAGCTCCTCCAAACAGTTGTACTAGTGAGAGTGGTGCACTTACACTCTGCAGTAATGACTGTTTTGGTGCCCCCTGGTGCACAACACAGGCATGCATTATGAATTTTATTAGTGCCTTAGGAACATTGATCATGAGCTGCATAACTGGAGAGCATGAGATTCCTCCATGGATCAGCTGAGAGAAATCATGCTGCTCTTAATCAATCCTGCCACTTCAACATGAGGGACATGTTCTCATCAGACATTCTCACCACTGATCCATGACTGTCACTACTCATTTCCTTCAAGATATTACATTGAAATTAAATTTTCAGCATCGGCTGGTGTCTTCTGACTATCTCCAGGAGTGTAGAAAGCCTCATACTAACCCGTCCCTCAGGACCAGTTGCCAAAACTGGGCCATCCCAGGCTTGAGCTGGGTGGCAAAGCAGGAGAGACCTCAACTGTTCCCGGCCAGCGACAGTGTGTGTGGTCGCTGCTCCAGCGCAGAGAAGGAGGCGGAGGAAATTGAGCAACCTGAGGAGGTCTGTTTTCCAGTTTAGGTATCACCTCATGTTTCTTTACCCTGACTGCTCATGATATGCGGATGTACACATTTATCAGCTGCTTCCATAGCAGGTATTCTTCAGCTGGAGTTTTGCTGCAGATTTCCAATTATTCTATATTCGTTATTATGTTTATGTCAATAAACTCTATCTGAGAAGATTGTCTAAGGGGAGACACTACACAAACAAACAAACAAGTGTAACAGGAAAAAAATAAGAAAGAAAATATATACAATTAGATAGAAATAATATGAAAAGAGAGAATACATCGCCTATATTAATGATGCCCATCTTTCATCAAGCCTATCTGTTCTCCACTGTAATCATGCTGTGCTTCTCTCCATGATAATAATACTTTTGTTTTTTTTACCCCATCTCTCCAGTGCTTATGCTGGTGGGCTGTGAATTCACCCAGGAAACTTGTTCTACTAAAAGCAGAATTCTCATAAAAAAACATCTATCATATTACCAGGAGGTACACCCTGTATAAAATGTGCTAGATCTAAACTAAAGTTTAGACCCAACAACTGTTTAATCTCCTTTTAAACATTCCTGCAGAAATCCAGGAGCTCTAGGTATAAAACTCGATAAATCAGGTTTTGAATGCTACATGAGCAAAGATAGGAATGAAATTGGAAAGTCTGTGCTGCTGTTTAGATTTTTGAGATGTATGAGGAGAGGAAAAACTCATTTTGAGAAAATGGTATTTAAAGATATGTATTGTTAAATTTTACTCTTCAAAACACTACAGGTGAATAGGGTAAAACTTTTAACTATATACATATATGTTTATATTAATACTTAGGTATAAATTAGGGTAAATATTCATAACTATATAATGTTATGTCACTATGACACCTCCCCAGCTGATTACTTACATTAAAGGAACGGTGTGTAAGATTTAGGGGGATTTCGTAACATCTAGTGGCGAGGATTGCAGATTGCAACGAGCTGAAACTTCTTCTGGGTAGATTTCCTCCAGTGTTCATCATTTAGGAGGGAGCAGAGGTCTCTCCCTCTCCAAAACAAACAGACCCAGTGATTTACACTGGGGAAAACACTAAATAAAACAGTTTCATGTTACAAATCAGTGTTTCCAACACTCTTGTCATGGAGTGGCTGCTAATTATGGTGACTGATGTGAATCTGCAAAAACGAAAATGGCCCTATCTAGAGCCAATGTTTAGTTTAATCATTTTGGGCGACTGCAGAAACTAGGTGGTTCAACTTGGTGGACTCCATAGACAGAGACCCTCTCCCTATGTAGATGCAAACAGAACAATTCTTATTTTCAGATTTTTGAGAAACTAAAGTAAACATAATTTTAGATAGTATTTTTTGTAGTTTTCTGAAATTTTATGTGGTAAATAAATAAATATGCAAATTAGGCATTATCTAATTAAATATGGACTTTTTTGCATACATTTCTATAGCAGAAATTTTAACTAGAATAAACCTAAATGTGTGTTTTGGATGTGTTCTTTCCACTAGTCTAAAAGAGGACGTTAGTTTCCACCTGCAGTGTCTCCCCTTGAATGCGTCATCCATTTACAATCTCTCAATTTGCTAACGTCTCGTGAGTGAATTCAAAGTGAAAAATTTGAGGCTCCACTAATGTGTCTCGCAGACAGACAGCATAAAAGCATCAAATTATTTCTTATCACCAGGACGGTGCAGGCCAGCTGCCAGAGAGTGATAACTTACCACGACGGTTTCGCCATCAGAGAGGTGAAATCCAAGACGGGAGGAAAGCTCAGCATCACAGAGCTCTTAATGCAGGGTCCAGTCTCCATGGAGACCCCGTCCCCAACATAAAGGTCTCCATCAAAGGGCAGCTGAAATCTCCTTCGGGGACAGAGAAGACCCCCCCTCAAGAATCTTTCGTCTCCCAAGTGCCATTAAGAGTAACTGCACGCTGCATCTTTCTTAAATGTTTAATTATCTCTGTGGGGTTTCACTGTGTGCTGCAGGAAACTGTAGTGATTGTGGCAAATTATTGCTACTTTACTACTACTGTTTGTGTTGCTTCACTCAGGCCTAAATTGTATATAGATTCCAGCTAACAATTTCGTCTTAGTTACAGATCAAAGTGTCTGGCCGGAGGGGTAGTTTGGGAATCAGCATTGCTGGTGGGAAAGGCTCTCTGCCTTACAAGGACCATGATGAGGTTAGTGAGCCCGCAGTGCTCCATCTCTTGCAACACGTGCTTGTTTGGCTGAAGATAATGAGAAGCAGCAGCATACACGTTCAAATTTAACAACAGAAAAAGCTTTGAGCACAATGTAATTACAATTTTAAGTAAGGCTAATGTGTCTGTTTCCTTTCAGGGCATTTTTATTTCCAGAGTAAATAAAGGGGGCGCATCAGAAAAGGCAGGGGTCCATGTTGGAGATAGATTGCTGGAGGTAGGCTGAGAATAATATTTCTCATGTTTGTAACATCTGCTCATAATTTCCTATTTACAAACTATCAAATAAACCACCCAGTGTGTGAAATGTGTTGACTAAACTGTACTTTAAACTGGCTATAGGAATATCGTTACACAATGTCAGTGCTTCCTGCTGGTGTTCCTCTTGTGACCAATGGAGGGCATCATAAGACCAGCAGAGGACACTCAGCTGGGACTTCCCTCAGTCATAAAGCCAGTGTGATGCTCACAAATAGAAAACAGGCAACATAAAATCCAAAATCAGTTTTTAAATTCATACTTTAATGGTTCAAATGTGATTAGAAAATCCTCATCAGTGTCTGTAGTCCGAAGAGACATGCTATTTTTAGATGATCTATGCTGTGTGTCACATCCGACTCCTGCTCCTACTTTCACTGACCCTAAAAGTGTAATGCGACCTCGGCCCTTTCAGGTCAATGGCCTCAACATGCAAGCAGCGACCCACCACGAGGCAGTCAGTGCCCTCAGGAATGCTGGGAGCTGCATCAAGATGAAAGTACTCAGAGAGAGGCTGCTACCCCGAGGACAGGCGTGTGACCCCGAAGACCCTCAGGATCCTCAAAACATGACGGGGCGACAGTTGTGCAGCCAGGACGGTGGAGGCCAGAGAGACAAACAGCCCAAGATGGAGAGCGTGGAAGACTGTTTGTCCAAGAAGATTGAGGCGGTTGTCTGCAACGGCAACGGCGTTGTGGGTGGTTTCACATCACAGCACAGACAGAATATACTTTTTAAATGTCACCATTGGTGTGCTTCAAGTCACATGTGGATTTCGCCTCCACAATGTTCTGATGCCTTTCTTTCCTCTTTGTCTTTTTGTGTTTCAGTCTGATTTGGAGAGCGACCTGAACAGGACCTTGTCTCAAATGGAGGCGCAGGCCTTGATAAAAAATGACTCACTTCAAGGGGGAAAACAGACAATGACAGTAAGCACTTCCTTCTATAGGATATACACCACCTACTGTATCATCCAGACACACCAAACCATCATCAAAGAACTAGTGGCTACCAAGGCTGCCAACTTGAACACACTGCAAAGTCTACAGCCAGCAGCCAACGAGCACCTAAGTTCTGAGCCTTCGTGAGAGGAAATAACTCTCCATACCAGCAGGTTGCGGTAGGCTGTATTTGTCATTCTGAAAGTGAAATTCAGAGACTGACGGATTCAAGTTAGCCAGGTAGCACATCAATAACACAACCAGATGTTGAGAGAACAAATGATTTTTAGTGGAAAATGCTGCAAATAATTATAAAACTTTTTCTGATAAAGAGCTCAGCTAAAAAAATAATCTTACTTAATATAACAAGTTTGTTTTGATCTCACTTCCTCTTGACCCTGGCCGTTTGTTTGCCTTCCTCATTACCATTTCGGTCCCATGCACAGAGCTGTACTGTTAATCCAATTGATTTCACTCAGGGCTGGGCTCTGCTATCTCCAGCGCCGATTCGACATGCTGAATCGTCCAAAAAACAGGCGTCAAGGGCCAACTAGTACCAACAGTGCAGGACACACCGTAAAAACCAACACATTCTCACTCTGACCTCGTCACATATCAACGTTTGTTCATGGACCTTCTACGTCCAGATACGACCCTGGGTGTGTTGGTTGTTGATGTTCTGGCACACCGTGCCAAGTTCTGCCTGTTACATGCATTGTCTCCTTTCAAAATACACTTCCGTTTTCACAGGAAATTAACAGCTTACATGAAGTCTCTTTCAAAATAAACGCACTACATCAGTACAACACTGCGAATTGATGTTTTTTTCCCCTCAAACAACTAATGCAAAAATGCTAAAACACGTGGTTGGGTTTAGGAAAAAAGAACAGGGTTCAGCTTTATAATCATACGGGACGTGAACTCCCACCCACCCTACTCGGACTTTTTGTTCTTGTCCAGCTGTGTTTCCCCCTGACGCTACTGAGTGCTGTTAAACTATAACGGCAACCAGCCGCGTATCATGCCGACGTAAAGGACGGCTGTCTAATGCTGCAAGTGACTGCCCAAGTGGTGGATTTCGACGACTTCAGAATGAGACCGGGTTGTAAAAACTAAGGCGATAGATGCTCACCAGCCAGACATTGACCAAGTGCAATGTGTTGGTTTGGTGTGGCAGGACCCTTACTCTGAAATCACCTGATTTTCAGCCTCTCCCTGCAGAAACAAACATAAGAGAAGTAAATGACGTGACTGTTCTGCCATTTCATCATGTACACACTCTCTATCACATCAACAGCTTATTTTCCTTCCTAATCCTGTCCCCCTCTCTGGTAATCATCATGACAGATCCCGCGGATCATCCTCACTCATCCCTCTACCTCAGATGAAGATGTGGAGTTCTTGACACAGATCCCCAGCAGAGAGCCGGTACATGACTCTGACATTCCTGACAGACACATGCACTGTTTTGACAGTGCTTTCTACCCACCTTGACCACAGCGTAGGGGTACAAACATGAAGGACACAGACTGTTATTACCCAGCTCTTTTTTTCATGTTACTGAGGTGGATTAGTGTAAAACAAACTGTTGGAATGTGTTTTTTAAGCTTTTTGTCTGTCAGATTCAATTGCTGCTAATAGTATTTAGTGATATTAAAGTCATTTGCAAGAATGAATTTTAAAACTTTATTTTTATTACTAAAAACCACGGAGTTGAACTGTGCTACGACATTGAAAATAGACTGTAAAAGCATGAACAGACGGCTCTCTGATGTCCAAATGAACTACATGTCATTATATTAAACACAGTCAATAAAGGACGAACGCTGCTGGCTACCTCTACTTCACACCACTGTGCTGTAAATTATGGATGTGCTGGTAAATAGTGTCTCTTCCCATGAAAATGTGAAGCCCTCAAACTTTTATAGTCTGTACTGAGATAAAATGTCACGCAGAGTGAACAGGGAACACATCAGGGAGTCTGAATCCTGCAGCGTCCTGATCCAGACTGAACTGAACATCGTCCCACGCCTCCTGTACAAGCTAAATTCAGGATGGTGAGTTAGGCACTCTGCTTTCTGAGCAGAAAAAGAGAACTGTCATTTTGCTTGTCAACACCTGCTTTGTCTTATTTCACAGCTTTTACATTCTCGCATTAGAAACAGTTTATTGTTCAGTGTTCATTTTCTCATTAAAGTACAAATATATTGTTCCAAGTGTCTTTACTTTTCTTTGACTTGTAGACAAATCCATGCTGACATGTGCACTGGCATGAACACCTACAATTCAGTTAAAGAGCCCTGCAAAATGTCTCACTTCCATAAGAGAGGTGGCAGATATTCAAGGTTGTAATTTGTTGTGGTGCTGTGCTGGATTGCAGCATATTGCAAGAGTTCTTGTTATTGTGTCCATCCCGCTGTATGTCTGCTCTTGACCACATCGACACTGACTTGTTTTTATCAGTGATGCTCCGCAGTGATGACTGTCTGCAGGGTGATAATAATCTGGGGACACACTTTATTGGAAAACACATTCAGTGTGTGAGATTCAATCCAGACTCAATTACTGGCTGGTGGAGCTCATGTTGTGAGGCTCGAGTCTCAAGAGGTGTTCATGTAAAGTTGGACCTGAGGAGGCCAAGCATAGATTTTAACGATGACAGTCGAATTTAGCTTTAGTCTTGTATGTGTATGTGTGATATAAATGTGTTTATATCACATAAGTCTTGGCAGCTTAAAATTAGGAATGATAGTCCACTTATAAAAAATGAAAGTTCACTTTGCTATGTATACCATTGAAAAAGGCAAACCCATCTGTATCACGTTTTTTTAATGGTCAGTAGCATCAAAAACAAAATTATATGCTTATTCTACATAAGCTATAAATAAACTATAAACGGATTAAATTAAATGGATAATTTCTTATGCTTGTTGGTATGTTTTGTCACATACAGATGCAGTGATGATTGCTGGGTGATACATATGTTGATGCTGTCCACTGTTGAGTCTCTGTTTGATCACGTGACAAGACGATATGTGAACAATTCCATGCACTAAGGCTAATCATAATAGCACGCACGGGGGGCCATTTACCTTATGCCACTGGTGAAGGTTGCAGGCACTTAGAAATTACGTTAAAGAGGTCATGGTTTGGGCCAGTAGCCAATCTTTGAAATTCTCTGAAATAAAAATGTAAATTTATAAGACAAACCTCACAAATGTACCACCAGAAAGTCAGATAATATAGAATAAAACGCACCATGGGGGCACCAAGATGTGGTGGGTGAGTGGGCTGCGTACAGGGCGATCACACAGAGGACGGGGCTTTGTGTCCTCTGTGAGTCAACCTTGGCTTTTTATTTTTAGACTCAGTTGCCTTGTTATTATCAGTTTTTGTATAAAGCTGCCGAATGCACACTGGGCACATAACCTTTAGCAGAATACTTTAATAAAACCATTTCAGCGTTGCTAGAATGCCCAGGAATATACACCATGAGTGCAAATGCCATTGTTGGCTACAGACACCAGGGTGCTAAGAGCATCTGCCAATTTGTTTCTGACCGGTACATCCACTGAGTTCCCCACTGAGTGGAAGGTGATCATGGAGGCTGTTTGAATTCGTCTTACTTCTGAGTTCAACATTGCACACACAAACATCCCCAGCCTCTGTTATGTTTGCAGAACACATCAGCTAAGAACCAAGAACAACAACAACAAATGGAGAGGATGGCACAACAGTAGTGACAAAGACACTGGCAAGCAATGGCACTGGGATCATCTTCAGAGCGGTTTGATGAACGATAGAAACACAGCCAAACAGAATCCATCAGAATCAACTGAATGTATTCCTCTGTCTGAGATAAAGGAACATTGAGATCTGCCACAGGTATCATTTGTAAACTGCTGTGCTGTGTGAGACCTGAACACCCACAGCAACAGTGAACTTGAGTGTTATATCGTAGGCAACTGGACTTGCTTGAGTTTCTTGACACACTGGCGAAGCCTCTTGGATGAGAGGTGAAACGTCTTCAAGAAACTCAAGCAAGTCCAGTTGCCTACGATATAGCACTTAAGATTACCATGACCTGGGTGACTGCGAGTCTTCACCAACATACAGCAACAGTAACTAACAGGGGCAGGGCGAGCAAACTGTCAGCTCAATATACTTGGCCTCATAGTTACAGCTTTAACTGATCTGTCAGCTAACATTTGCAAACTTTTGCTGTGTACCAAACCTTAAGAGTCGGTTTGCGGACTCTGTAAGTGTGCTACCGTCAGACTGTAGCCTCCTTTGCCACTGTCACACACAGGAAAAGTTCAGAAGTGTTTGATGACCCATACTTTTTGATTGCCTTACTTTTTTTGTCTCAGTTACTTCACACTTTCATAAACTTAAAATCCATTTCCATACTTCATCTAGTGTAGAATATTATACCATGCACAACCAGTGGACAAAAGTTAAAAGATCAGTCATGAAAATTTGTTGATATTAAGTTAACTGATCCGAATGAATCACTCTATTTCACGCCATGGTAGATCCACGTGTTCATTGTCTATCTGCAACACTCTCAGACCATCTAAAATCACTTTACATAATTTGTTTGGTTTCTCTGTGGGGGATTTCTTTTAATATTTGGCAAGTATCTCATTATGATGATAATGATCAACACTGCACATTTAGACTCCAGCAATATAAATGAAGTGATTTAACAATTTATTTCTGCCCTAATTAGAGCTATCTCTGCTGCTGGTGTTCGCTAAATGGATAAAGTTAGTGTTCCAGTATCAGAGAATTACCTTGAGGCTCAAAGCTAATACTAAGAGTCACATGTTATGCCAGAAATCAAAGCAAATAGATGTGACTTTCTGCTTTCTCCACAGATACTGAATATTAATTAGAGGCAACAGGATTATGTGAAAATCATGAAATGGTTCATGGCTATAATTTAAGATTTGGCTGCTATCAAAACTGCTTAAAATCAGATGTTCAAAAGCGTTTACATATTTACACTGTCACATGCTTTTTGTCCCCCTGAGCCTCTCTGAGGGAATATCACAAAACTCCAGAGAGGTAATGTGGCAGTGTCATTGCATGGCGTATTGTGATTTTCTGTGTCTGCGGCTGCCACAGAGACACAGGGGCATGGGAGACCGCATGGAAACAGACAAGAGCAGCTGTGACAGGAATGAAGAATGTAGTGTACTTAGGGGATTAGCATCCACTCCAGAGGTCTGCTTTCACTCACTGATAAGGGAACAGAGAAGTCAGTGCAGCCCGAAACAAGCAAGTAAATGAATTTGTTTCAAGCCCCCCTGATAAGTCATTATTGGAAACATGCCGAGACACTTTTGTCACATCAGTCTGCTGGCTGGTAGGAGTTTAAATTATCTGAAGGGTTTTATTGTTGGTATGATTTTAAAAGTAGTGTTCGGTATTAAAAACACATTAACTGTCAGACATGCCAGTTCAGACACAAAAGGCTTCATTCAGTTTCTATTCAGCAGCTTCAGTGTGATCTCTCCACAGCAGACCTGAGCTAAAAAAATCTGTCATGAATGTTTAATATGACAATCATGAGAAAACTAAGACAAATGTTTGACTTCAGTTTGTTCTCCAAGGCGACACACAGGTCGTTTGTTATTGTCCAGTCAATACAGTCATCTCCACCGCGCTTATTCATGATCTAAGCTCAGTCTGCCAAGATACCTGTCATGCTTTGAGCATCATAATATGGCAGTATATAACACCAAAAAAGCCCACGCTGGGCAGGTATACACAACTTTGACTCATTCATGGCAATAAAAGAGAGTTTATTTAAAAAAAAAAAGGTGTTGACATTGAACATGAAAAACTCTCCAGGGACAACAGAGCTGTGTTGTTCGAAGCTCCGAGTGTGGGTTACTGGTGCCCAGCAGGCTGACTGCTGTCTGCAAGCTATTTGTGGCTATTATGTGTCTATAAAAGGAAATCTGTGGGGCGATACACGCACCGACAGTAATACACTTTGAACTTTGCGAGGCGGGCTGAAAAGTGTGCATCTTGCTTCCCGTATCCGCTTTGATCAACAATTTAAGTGCTGAGAGAAGTTTTCCTGAAGCACGGACATGAGCAGCACTACTTGTGGATGGAGAGGCATTTGAAGCAGAAATGGACGGTCTGATTAAGAGTCTGGGGAAGGTAAGAGGGTTTGAACATTTTTGTTTTGTTTGGAATGATTGTTCTTCTTCTAACACATTTGTACCAGATAAAAAACCTCTTCTTGGGGATTTTGCTGTAAGGTTGGAGTAATATCACTGACCTGCCTTTAGTTTCCACTAACCTTTGTAGCTATAATGTTCTGGCTTTAAATGACTCTTTGAGATGATTTTAGATTTAATCCATCAGCACTATTAACCCCAGCATTGTGCCCTTTACCACCCACTGCCACCTTCCAGGCTTTCACACATAAACACAGACACAGTATACACTCAGACGCTGCTACTTGATACTTATCCTGTTATGTCCTGTCAAACAAGGATGAAAAACAGTTACCGAACTGCTTATGGGTGAATTTAAAAAAGTACCAACCACACTAAGAATCACAAGAATAAATGTAAATGCATCTTGTCAGTGTTAATATGTGGTGAAAATTGCATTTATGCGAGTACATGCTTCACTTCTATAATGTTTTTTAACTTCTACAAAGCATCTGAAGGTCATATAGATGCCGTTATAATGAATAAAATCATCATAGAAAAATTTAAAGTATGTGAGAAATTCTGAGACTTCTTTCAAAAGAAGTCTTTACTCAACCCCAATGGCATTTTCTTCCTTTGTATGCTGCTTTTTAAAATTACAGGCATTGATTGAAATATGTGCATTCTCTTGTTGTTTTTGTCCTTGCGTATAAGACTTGGAGTCATAAAAATTGTTTATTATGTGAGAAAGATAACCCAGTGTTCTCAGTAGCAGCTGGCAGTGGGCTATATTTGCACACCCTATCTACTCCGGAGGGAGGGGCGGTGTGTTTGTCTGTAATTAAACTCTTTACTTAGTGACACGCCCAACTGTTTATGTGTTTACTGTGGCACAACGTGAGCCACTACAGATATGCATTTTTAACATCTGTGGAGTGCAGCATTTTCAGCAGCAATTGTGCTTTTGCTCTGAAGAGGAATAGCTCACAATGTGGCACCCAACTGAGCATCATTGAACGCAATATGAATGAATATGTGGATAATGAATGCAAAGCTTATGGAGCGTATAGAGTGCTCCTTAAAGTTGAGCTTCTGCAGAGGAAGCATTAGAAATAACATCCCTTGTTTTCTTTAAGTATGTTTGTCACTTTCTGGCTGTGCACTGTTTACGACTGTCCCCTTTAAAGGTCTCCACAGGGTGGTCTGCTTCAGAAAATGATTTAGTGCTGCTTTTATTCTGTCATTGGGATGCATCCGACATGCCACAAGAAATAACTGAGCGAGAGCACGCATGCAGTGAGGCAACATGTAGCACAGTGAGCCAGTGGCGGCTGGAAATGTGATCTATGGGGACGGTGTGACCTTGGCAACACTCAAAGCTATTAAACATTCAAGAGGGCTCCGATGGGCAAGTAGGAAATGCACGGTTTGACCTTTCACAGTATAAACTTACTCTGCTTTGACTACAGAGGACATGCAAACAAGGAGGTTACATAAGAACATGATAAACAAGTTCATGAGATGGCACATGATTACTTTAGCCGAGGCATTTGTTCCGTTTCTTTATTTATAGCTGATCATGGATACACTGGTGTCGCTGAGATAAATATCTTGGCTGTCTGAAGTGTATGTGAACCTGCTCGGGCTCAGGAACTAGGTGTCATGTCACAAAGAACATGGGTGGCATGGGTTAAAGGAAAGTGGGGGAAGAGGTACCCAGGTCGTTGACATAAGTGATGCACAATGTAAAAATACTCCATTACAAGTTAAGGTCCTGCATTCAAAATGTTAACTAAAAGTGCATAAGTATTATTAACAAAATATACTTAAAGTATTGAAACTAAAACTATTTATCATACAGGCAGAATGGCCAGTCAGTGTTAAGGCCCAAACACACCAAACCAACTTCAGAGAGCAAGCAGCAATGACAGTCGACTGCTAAGTGACCTCATGTTGCCTGTATCTGAGCCAAAAAGTTGCACAAGAACACACTGCTATGACCACAGCTGACGGCCAACTAGAACGAACATTCTGTGCCTGCCAGGAAATAATTCTCTCATACCAGCAGGCAGCGGCGGTCTTTATTCATCACTCAAAATGGGAAACCAGAAGACCGTTTCAACGCTAGTTAGCCAGTGAGCACATTAGCAATACAATCCAGTGTTGAAAGAGCAGACTATATTTACTGTGTGCCAGTTAACAACAACACAAACCATCATGATACTTTTCTGCTAAAGAGCTCAGAACAATCGTACCTTATGTAACAATTTTGTTTTGGTCTCACTCCCTCTAGACATTTGCTCTTCGTTTACTTTCCTCATTTTGGTTTCTCTTCTCGTGCACTGAGCTGAACTGCCAATCAGAGTGGTTTCATTCACCGACACACTCCGCCATCGCAATCACAATTCAATATGCTGAATCAGCTCAAAAAAAGCCAACAGGGGCTGATGAGAGGCAACAGTGCGGGACACACCGCAATGACTAGGGTGTCAAATGGGGAACTGCCCATTGGTTCGACAGCCCATTGGTTCGACATCCCATTGTTCCAACCATATTAAACTCATTGTTCCGAAGTCCGTTCCGAAATCATCATGATGCCCTGTGGTTAAGGTCTGGTTAGGTTTAGGCACAAAAACCACTTGGTTAGGGTCAGGAAAAGATCATGGTGTGGGTTAAAATGAAAAAGAAAGTGACAAACTCATAAGCCGTGAGCCTGCTCCGCCTCAAGCCGGTCGCGGCGGGCGTATGGTGCGCAGTGACCAGCTTGAGGCGGAGCAGGCTCACGGCTTATGAGTTCAGCACCGCGGACAGTCGGACTAATAGGATGTCGAACCAATGGGCTGTCGAACCAATGACATGGACCCGTCAAATGCGCACCGATGGCTTGGTGTGTTATTGCACAGAGTACAGGTACTGAGACAGTGAAATGTGGCTAATCATTATTATATGTTTTTTGGGCACATATCTAGTTGTCTCAGATTTTTTATTTATGGTGTCACTTGCTGAGATTTTAGCTTTTCAAATGATGATCAGTAAGTGCGTGCTCGGACATCATCCCTTGAACCTGTCGAAAACTCTGCTGGAGAGATGCAAGTTTGTAAATGTGTAGAAATTATTTGTAAATTGTGGCTCAGAAGGAAGAGCGGGCTGTCCATTTATTGAAAGATCAGTAGCTCGATCCCCGGCTCCTCCAGTCCAAGTGTCGAAGTATCCTTGAGCAAGATACTGAATCCAAGATTGCTCCTAATAGCTGTTCCATCAGTGTGTGAGTGTATTAAAAATTGAGTAGCAGGTGGCATCATATGCGGTGGCCTCGGTGAATTATGTGTGTGGATGGGTGAATGTGACTGGCAGTGTAAAAAGCACTTTGAGTGGTTGGAAGACTAGAGAGGCGCTATACAAGTGCAGGTCCATGTACCATTCCCTTTCAATTTTGTACACACATTATACCAACAAGGAAGATTTATAGAAACTCTGAGTGCTTCTGAGATCGTATGAGTTATGCTGTGGTCACATGGAATCAAGGAGATGGTAGATGATAAATTGGATATCATTTTAGTGGATGAAAGGAGGCCGGTAAAATTAGGAGTCCCCCGTGACAGAATTTCCAACCCAAAAAGCTGACTAATTGTGGCGCTGTGCTCTGTATATTTTCCTGCTTTTTTTGTCCTTTCGCAATCAAACACCTTAATAATACTAACCAGTTAATTAATAGTAAGTTAATTTTAGGCCTTGGTAACTTGTGTTTGCTCCATTAACGAATCTGTACTGTGGCAGGGTGGTGGTGATTTTAAGGGCACTCACTAGAAAGATGAGGAGCTGACACACCACCCTAGGAATTTCACCTGAGGACTCATATTACTTTAAATAACTCAGAAGGCACTCAGGTCCGTTATACTACGAGGCAGGAGATGTACATCCATCCAACAATAATTCTTAATTAGCAATCTCTTAAAATGATTAATCATAAAAAAAGCAATATGAGTAAAAGGGACAGTCAACACACATTCAAACACTCAGTGGGGACAGGCAAGGGGAATTGACTGAAGCTGAGGTTTACCAGTGGAGAGGTGGGCCAATAAGGGAGGATGGTAGCCCAAATGGGAGTCACCCCATATGGCAAGCCGTTTTAACATTTAATAGCTAAGTTTGACTATCCGGAATTACCATTATAGATATCAACAACATCATTTTGACTAGTCGTAATGTCATTGTGACTAGTATGCATTTTAATTGAAGATATCTATAACATCATTCTGACTAGTCAAAACTACAGTTACAGATATCTGTAATTCAGTTTTGACTAGTAACATTCAAACTATTTTTGCCATTAATGTGTATGAGGTTTGTCATTATAGATATCTCCAATGTAGTCTCCAATGTGAATTGGAGATATCTGTAATTCAGTTTGAGATATCTACAACGTCATTCTGACTATCTGAAACTTAATTCAAGATATCTAGAAAGGACCATGTAGATATCTTCAATTGATGATAATTAAAGATATCTTGAACTTGAATTATGACTAGTCAAAATGACGTTATAGATATCTGAAACTGGAATTACAGATATCTACAATTCAGTTGCAGATATCCGCAACTACGTTGGAGATATCTACAATGACAAACCCCATACACATGAATGGCAAAAATAGTTTGAATCTTACTAGTTAAAACTGAATTACAGATATCTGTAATTAGAGTTTTGACTAGGCAAAATCTAATTACAGATATTTTGAGTAAGAGTTTTGACTAGGCAAAATTATGTTGCAGATATCAGTAATGCATATCCAGTCTAGCTATTAAATGTTAAAATGGCTTGCCATACACCCCATGTCACACATGCACACACATGCATGAATGATGAAGATGAGGGTGGACAGGTGAGCACAGCACACACGAGGGCGATACCACCACCAGAAGACACCAGCCCCACCACTAAATTGGCCTCAAAGAAAGAGGGCTTGGATGACAACTACCTGTCTACCTGCCCATCCATGCC